TTACCTATGCGGAAGAGGCCGTGAGGGCAGTACCTTGGTTTTTAAAGGCTCTGATGATGCCCAAACCAATTCTGTCAAGACTTCTGAAAACTAAACCGAACCTGGGCAGCATCCATACTTTACTTATTTATTTTTAAAAAAGTTTTTTTAAACCACTTTAGTATAGGCATCTTTTTTTTTTTTTTTTTTTGGAGCATCAAATCCACTCTGAGATTATATTGCATACAAACGTTGTACTTTTGGCCAGGACTAAAAATACAAAAATTAGCCAGGCATGGTGGCACACATCTGTAATCCCAGCTACACAGGAGGCTGAGGCAGGAGACTCGCTTGAACCTGGGAGGCAGAGGTTGCAGTGAGCTGAGATTACACCACTGCACTCTAGCCTGGGCAACAGAGTGAGACTTTGTCTCCAAAAAAAAAAAAAAAAAAAGATGCCTTATACTAAAGTGGTTAAAAAAACTTTTTTAAAAAATAAATAAGTGAAAGTATGGATGCTGCCCAGGTTCGGTTTAGTTTTCAGAAGTCTTGACAGAATTGGTTTGGGCATCATCAGAGCCTTTAAAAACCAAGGTACTGCCCTCACAGCTCTTCCGCATAGGTAGGGAGTACACCTTCTGATCACGTCTTTTCAAGACATGTCCTCACTTCTTCAGCACCAGGGGAGGGTAAATGGACTGGGCATATACTAACGTTCTGTTTTCTTCCAGAAGAAATGAAAGAAACCCACACCCAGAAATTCCTCTGTAAAGATCCTACATTGGCCGGGCGAGGTGGCTCACGCCTGTAATCCCAGCACTTTGGGAGGCTGAGGCAGGCAGATCACTTGAGGTCAAGAGATCGAGACCAGCCTGGCCAACATGGCAAAACCCTGTCTCTACTAAAAATACAAAAATTAGCCAGGCATGGTGGCACACATCTGTAATCCCAGCTACACAGGAGGCTGAGGCAGGAGACTCGCTTGAACCTGGGAGGCAAAGGTTGCAGTGAGCCAAGATCGCGCCACTGCACTCCAGCCTGGGCAACAGAGCAAGACCCCATTTCAAAAAAAAAAAAAAAAGATTCTATATATATGAAAAACAAAAGTTTTTTAAAATAATAAATGTTAACAGTCAATAATGTATTTGTCGGCAAGAAGCCCTCTGTTAATAATGGTCTAAACGAATAGGGCATTGTCTTTATCCAATAAAGAAATCCAGAGGCAGACAGTAATTGGCTTTGATTCAGCCTCTGACTGTCACTGTCAGGGCCCCAGGCCCCATGAGCCTTTCCTGCATGTTGGCTTATCTTCTCATGCTTGTGACTTCCTGGTTGCAACATGGCTGCTGCAACACCAGACGTCTTGCCTGTCTTCAAGGCAGGAAGGAGGGGGAAACTGTCTCCTACCAGCTGTTTTTCTTCCCTTATCTCCTCCATGTCTTGGATCAAAAGCATCTCTTTGAACCTCTCCCTCAGGCATTCCCTGAAATGCTGTGGACTTTAACCTTTTTTCTGTTGCAAAGGTCACTCACATCTCCCTGGGTTGTTTGGTCTTCTCTTCCTTGGCTCTAAACACAGCAGTCTGTTGCTTCCTAGGACAACTTATAATGGGACCCAAAGGGGAAAGAGGATTTCCCGGGCCTCCAGGAAGATGTCTTTGTGGACCCACTATGAATGTGAATAACCCTTCCTACGGGGAATCCGTGTATGGGCCCAGTTCCCCGCGAGTTCCTGTGGTAAGGCTTTCTGGGAGAAGTCTGGGGTGGTTATCCATGAGGACCTCTCACCTGATCCTTAGGGGGCTTTGTGAAATCCTTTCAGTAAAACTTACTTTTTTTCATGACTCCGGGTACATGCTCATTATAGGAAATTGGAAAATAAGAGAAAATCAAAAGAGGAAAACCAAATTGCCCATTTGATTATGAGTTCATTTTGGGGTATTTTCTTTGTCTTATTAAAATCTAACTTTTATATGGTTGAGATTATATTGCATACAAACGTTGTACTTTTGACCAGGCATGGTGGCTCACACCTGTAATCCCAGCACTTTGCGATACTAAGGCATGCATTTAATAATTCTGCAGTATATAGAATCACAAACAAAGTGGATGAATTAATGAAATGAATTGATGTCCCAAAGGTTTGACTTCAAATAATCACAGAGTGAGGCCAGTAGTGTGAGTGGGGCCATTAACGGCGAAAACCAAGGCACAGGCTCGCCATTGAATTGGATATTATTAAAGGTTGGTGAAGGGTACTAGGGGGTTCATTACACTATTTGCTTTGGCTTATTTTATGTAATTTGAAATTTTCCTAATAAAAAGTTTAAATGTTATGTATAGGAGTGTGGAACCATGGCAGGATTTTCAACTAGATCAACAAGTGCCACCTTTTTTTTTTTTTTTGTGAGGAGGTCTCGCTCTGTCACCCAGGCGGAGTGCAGTGTGGTGCTGATTTCAGCTCCCTGGTAACCTCTGCCTCCCGGCCTTCAAGCGATTCCTCTTGCCTAGCCTCCAAGTAGCTGGACAACAGGTTGCACCACCACCCCTGCTAATTTTTTTATATTTTTAAGTGAGACGGGCGGGGTTTCACCTATTTGGCCAGGCTGTCTCGAACTCCCCCCTAACCTTGTTATCCGCCC